CCCATGGGACTCTAGTTTTTAGCTAAATTTCAGCAAGTTTATTAACAACAATCTTGACGGCATTTTTCATAGTCATACTTTGTATTTTCTGGTGAAAGAAATAAACTTGCAGGACCTATTGATACGTTGGTAACATCCTGCCATCAAACGATTCCATCGGCTGACCAATCAAATGGACGGCAGTTTCAGAACGTGTCACTGCCATGATCCAGTAGTCTAACCTAAACATTAATAAAGCATGATGAAAACCACACAGTTTTGCAATATTATAGGGCTCATTGTGTTATTTTGATGCAGTAATAGGTGAATTCTACACAAAATGTTTTCAAACTCTGTTACCTGAAGTTCTTGTTTCAGTTTAGATTTATTCGTGCAAATATTTAAACGCAGTTGGTACCATCTGAATCTGTGCCACATTGACAGGCGCAATTAAGTAGGCTACAAAACGTTGAATGATGAATTAAAGCAATGTATCAATATTTCTTAGCAGGTTGGTGTGGAAAAGTGTTCACTGCTCAGTACTGGGAATAACTGTAAGATAAGCCAACAATAAAACTGTTTTTGATAAACTATAATTTATATTTTGTCTTTTGCTACAATTTGCTATTCTTTGCCAGATAAATAATGTGATAAATAAGTAAAATGCATGCCACCAGTTGGCAACAGCAGCAAGTGACATACATGCCACTTTTAGCCGTAAAAAATGAATTTTTATTATAAATGATGACTGTGAGGCAGTACTAAACAATTTCAACATGCCTAATATTTTACACAACAATTCCTCTAACCAAAAGGAACAAAAAAATTGATGTGCCCTTGAACTTCTTGATCACAAGTTTTTTGGTAATGTATTGTGACCCACCCTAATCAACATGGTATTGTAGGCCCAGTTTCTTGCGTTTCCCTCCACCATAGCCAGGTGAAAACTGCATTGTTCCTCCTGAATCCGAGTTTCGACTATCGATCTCACCCTCCTCTCCAGTACCCCGGAATAGATTTTCCCAGGAAGGCTGAGAAGTGTGATCCCCCTATAGTTGGAACACACCCTCCGGTCCCCTTTCTTAAATAAGGGGACCACCACCAATCCAGCGGCACTGTCCCTGACCTCCACGCGCTGTTGAGAAGGTGTGCCAGCCATGACAACCCCACAACATCCAGAGCCTTTAGGTACTCTGTAGCTCTTTAACCACCCTGGAGCAGGAGGTACAACGGGCGCATCAGGGATGGGCGGAGCAGCAGGTGGAGGTGGGACCTCAGGCGGAGGCGCCGGGACCTTGGGCGGAGCAGGAGGCGGGGGTGCCGGAACCTCTGGAGCTAGAGCGTCGGCCATTAGGACTGGAACTGCTGTCGACGGGGTCCAGTCCTTCCTCAACCACAGATTCTGTCCAGCTCATGTGGTGACAAGGTTGGGGCAAATGCTGTGAACTCCCCTTGCAGCTATGTGCACAGCTGGGCAGCCTTGGGGGAGTCCTGCACCGCCAAGTCATCCATCATCTTCCAGAAAAGACTATGGAAGGTGAAGAATGTCCCAGCTAGTGATATAGCAGCGGATGCCTTTGGTGCCAGGTCCAGAACCGACTGGTTAGACACAGGTAGGTCAGGAATATCAAACACTGGCACCATGGAGGGTGGTGCCATAGCCTCCAGGATGTCCCAGCTTTGGCTGGCTAATGCCTAGGCCACCGGGTCTTCTTGGACCCCCGGCTGGGCCAGCCAGTAAAGGCAAAAACCACACTTCACGGAATTCCCACCTCAACAGAGCACTGCAATGATAATAATCACACAGAAATACATCAAACCAACCGTGCACACTCACTACATTAGCTGACATGGTGTCGAGGCATCTACTAAAGGGAGAATCAACATCCTAATCGCTGCCACCTTTAACTAAGTGACCCCAAAATGAAGCCCAGATCAGGTGCCGACTCAACGTAATGGTCTGCCAATGACAAAGGCTTTCACTTAACTCAACACGGGGAGAGTGCCCAGTTATTCCCCCCCTTCGGCGTCTGTGCATCTCCCCCTCCGGTAAGGAGTCTCGCAGTGGGGGCCCTGGATCTCTCAGCGTCACCTCTCTCTTCCTCTCCCAGCTCCATCCTCCTGCACCGCTTGCCTCTCGCTGCTCTCCAGGGTCAAGCATGTCCACTCTTCTAACATTAAAAATCTAATGTGGCTGTTGTGTAACGTAGGCTGGGCACACTATGAACTGAGATGCAGGAGTTACTTAGGGAGGGATGTAGCCAGGGCCGGCTTTACCTCTTCAGGGGCCCCAGGCAAAGCTTTACCTGATGTTCATTTCACTTCCTCTGCAATGCAGGTAATTTGGGAGTCTCAGGCAACTGTGTAATCTGCTTAGAGCTAGATGGATGTAGGTATATAGTTGACTACACATACAGTCTCCTTCCTACTTTATACCATACAGACCTTCCTCTCCATGTATCCAATGTCCCTTTTCCATTGCTTTATTTGGAAGTAGAGAAAGCTAGTCAAGGCTGTCTCCTGCAACAATACAACAGATGTAGCATTGGCTTGCTTGCAAGACCATGTTCTGCGAATGTGCCTTTAGCATTGAAGGGCTTGTTGATATAGCTACATACTTGCATTGGAAGCTCCTTCTTTTGTTAAAGGGTCAGGCTATAGGAATTCAACATAAGGGTTCTTTAAGTACACCTTTTTGCCACCAATGTTCTTTGCACATATCACCTGGATACAGGATGCATTGTCTGCAACTTTATAACTTTCAATTTGTTCCAAACAATCATTGTATTCTTGTATTGTAACATACATAGGTTTCCCTGCTTCTACATTGAATGGCAGTTACCATCACACATTCATATCCATATACCCACACATAACCGATACTTGGATTAAACCTCTGCTCTGAACATTGTGATATTCCTAAACAGAGTTCTGATCCACTTTTTCTATGACCAGCAGCTTCTAAACAGAATCTTTAAAGAATCCTGCCATATTCTCTACATTCAGAGTGAGTTGTACTCATGTATCCAAGATTTCACGTTTCACTAACATAATGAATATGGTGCTGAAGAAAACGTCCTAACCTTGTTTTTATGTCTGTAATGTATTGTTTTATTAGTCTGATCTGATGATTATCAAACCATGAATTCCCAAAACCAAATATACTTCTACATTTCCCCGGCTATGCTTCCTTTCTTTCACTTATGGCTTGTCCTAATTCCGTCCATTTCCTCTGCATTAGGTCATGAAAAAGCTAACCTATGGCATCAGCTAATTAAATAGCAAATTTCCAAAACATACTCAGTCCACTGGATACGTTTTAGAAAAAATTTCCGCAGTCTTTTTGGAAATTTAACAAAAGTTTGTTGCCGGATGACACCTTAAGGACTCTCAGACTATGAGAAGCAAAATCCTCTGGTCTGATGAAGCAAAGATTGAACTACTTGGCCACAATTCCCAATGATGTGTGTGGAGGAAACCAGGCACTGAGCATAACCTAATTAAAACCATCCCTGCAGTCAAGCATGGTGGTGGCAGCATTATACTGTGGGGATGTTTTGCTGCAACAGGAACTGGGAGACTAGTTAGGATAGAGGGAAAGATGGGTGTAGACAAAATGATAGCAATTTCGCCCATTTCCTCTGCATTAGGTCATGAAAAAGCTAACCTATGGCATCAGCTAATTAAATAGCAAATTTCCAAAACATACTCAGTCCACTGGATAACTTTTTGAAAAAATTTCCGCAGACTTTTTGGAAATTTAACAAAAGTTTGTTGTCGGGTCATCTGAGGACTGAGCGAGTTTTATTTCCCAGTTGTGTAATATATGATGAGGTAATTTGCAATCTCATCTCGAAAACAACAAAAAATGGACTGAGTTTTGGAAATTTGTTATTAAATTTAAAAGTCCTTCAGATGCATAAAATATCAATGATTATTAATATTATGGTGTGGGAACCTGCAATGGGTTGGCACCCCATCTTAGGTTGTTCCCTGCCTTCCACATGTAGCTTCCAGGATAGGTTCCAGACTACCATGAACAGGACAAGCAGTTACAGAAAATGGATGGGTGGATGAATGGATGGATGGTATCAGAACCATGGATATCCAGTCAGCTTTCATGAGACTTATTCTAGATTTTCACAGATTTGCTTTTGATTCACTAGAGAAAACAAGACTGGTCTATAATTTTTCATGGGAGAAGTGTGGGTTTTTTAAGCAGTGGAATTAGTCACATCTGCTGAAGTGTAGTGGGGAACACCCCAATTGTTAGTGACGTTTTGATAGCATGTGTAAATACAGGCAGAGTTTGGGAGATGTAGTTTAACGGGATGCAAGGGTCAAAGATCCAGGGCATATGCAGTGGGTGTGTTAGCGAAGAGGAGGTCGGAAACACCACAGTTAGCGAGGGGGCAAATAGAGGGAGGGCTAGACTATGTGTGGAATGGGGTGAGTACAGAGAATCAACTGCCATTATTTCTTGGAAGACGATCAGCAGTCACGGTAGTGGGTGAAGGGAAAAGAGGAGGGTTAAGGAGGGTGTTTGTGAAGAATAGCTCCCATGTATCTGCAGAAGTGTAACACTCATCATCATGGGTGTCTCAAAGCTTTTCTCCCAGGGGGTGCAAGGTGAGAGAGCCCAACCAGTCATTCATCTGGATAGGTAAATTTGTTAATACAAAAATAATATATATATATATAAATAAATATACTTACAATAAATCATTATTATACATTGATTTGACCAACACAATTCACATTTTCAAATATAACTTTACAATATAATTTAATTTTTTATTACTTAAATGTTTAAATAGTATTTCATCTGACCAGCAGGAGGTGCAATTGCACCCCTCCACACCCAGAAAAAAATCACCTCTGCCTCTCATGATACTAACTCACTCGTATTCATTGTGTTAGAAGCAATGATTTGATGATGATTATTTTAATTTTCATATGATGAATTATTTGTATATGATATTGTAAATAAGTACTTTAATAAAAAATATATATACTCATACTTTTAAGCAGATATGTATTTAAGCAAAGGTTTGTTTACAAAAAATACACTTTACAGTTTTTTTCCACAGTTTGTAGAAAGTACCCATTAATTTCATTCAGTGATATGTACACCCAGATTGATTTACATTACAATCATATTTTGAGAAATTACTCACACATGCTTTCTCATGTCACTACTGGCAGCCACTACACTTACAGTAAAAGAGGTAGCTTTCATGACTAGACAATACATTAGTAATAAAATCATTTACAGTTACATGCACAGAAAAAGCACACATGCACACATTAAAACATCCTTAGCATGTTACGACTTTCATACCATTTTATTGGTTCTCCAAAATAGATGTTGATGTTTCAAAATTAATTTCTTATGTATATATTTGGAATGAATACGGGAATATAAGTGGCCACAAAACATTCTAATAAATATATCACAATGAAATCGTAGTGTCTACTCATCAAAAAGCATTGCAATTTATATTTTCCCTTTTACAAATGTAGTAAGAATTTTTAAATACCTCTACAATGCAGAGAGAGAAGCCAAACAGTGTGTTTCCAGGTAAATATTAATATCAGACTTAAAGGAGAAAATGCAATTCTGTGTGTGTTTGCAGGAAGGAAAATAACAATTAATACAACATCCCCCAGATGGTTTTCCATGGTGGTATAAACAAAATGACATGATTTGCGTGCTTCCAGAGTCACCAGACACAGAGAGGAATCCTGTTTAGTCTCCAGTACCAAAGCAGACTGACTTGATGCAGCAAGTCTCGGTGCAGCATGTCTGCTGTGTTTATGTAAGAAAAAAAGAACTGTGGATTACCAGCCTCTTATTATTATTGGCCTTATTCTCCTCACTCACTTCAATGTGAAATGTACATTAGTGAACATATCCCACTCTCACAGAGTCTTCACATAGGCTGCATGGGTTAACAAAGATCTGTATAAATCACTGAAGCAAGTTTATGGGAATGTGTACGAGCATGTTAAAGCATCTCATACCACAACTGATTAGCCCTTAATACATATATGGAATGTTTGTATATTTTAATAGTGTGGAGTATGAATTTAATATCTTAACATGAAAAGTAATAATTTGCAGTAGTGTTCATTATTTTAAGTTTCACAAACTAGAAAATGACAATATTCTGCAATACATGTTATGTTTTTTGGTTCTGTTATAACAATGGACTAAATCTGAGTTTCTGGCAAATGTGAAATGATCTGGTCTGGAAAAAAAGTTCCACAAACCCAAGATCTGATACAGTGAAGCCCAGTAGATCAAAGAAATGTTCTGTTACTTTTGATCTTGGGAAAAACTGCCACACTTCTCAGCAAAATTGAAATTGTTACAATAGCCTAAATCCAAATTCACATATTTATGTAATCTGCAGTAATAGTATTACTATATTTAATAATTTCTGATGATATAACAAATGTATCATACCCTCAAGTTCTTGGTTCTTTTAAACAAAATGAATATGGTAAATTTCAAGCTGAGAAGTTATTTTTAATTCAAGTAAAATTATGTCATTAAATAAACTAAACTAACTTTGCTTATGACACATTACTGGGAAAAAAAGTTTAGTCATGGTCTTTTGTGTAATCATGCCCTTGATAGCACTGTTTTACTGGGACTCATCTGTTTCCAATCAAACATAGATTCTTAAACAAAATGACAAGAAAAAAAAACATAAACACAACTGATTGTTTGTAAACAAAAGAAAATAAATATTAGTACTTATTTTCCCTCCAAGCACTGAGACGGAGAGACTATTAGACTGACCTATCAGTGTAAAAAACTTCCTCTGAGATGACTTGTGTTTTTCTGCAAACAAACTGCTCCTCCAAGCAGTTCATTGACAAATTACCAAAAACGGTATTGCGCTTGATATTAAATTATCGAAAGATGTAGTCGGAACACAATCATACCAATAAATGGACATGTGAATTATGAAGTATCTTTATATCAGATACAATTAAAAATAAGTACTAAAAGTACACTTTATATAATGATAAAAGCAGGCACTGATGAATGGAAGTTTTGTAATGTAAAATAATGGCCCAACAATGAACAAACAACATAAGCAAGAAAACTAAGACACTGTAAAATTTATTAGTCACGTCTAGCCAGATAATTCTTAGAAAAGTGCTTTCTTAATACATAACTCATGTACAGACAACCTAAACTTAGGGTAAACTCAGATTATGAGTTCTTATACTTTTACAGTTCACTTTGCACACACATACGTACAGACAATTACAAACAAACAATCTACTTGACTGCCTTATTTCCCTAGTCTCTGATGCGAGGAATGGCTGTAAGAGTAGTGGACAAGAGGAAATCCGCGACTCTGGTAGAAGCATGCCCGTCCACAAGCCTGAACTTGGTCAGAACTGTCTGACACAAAGGAGTCCTCTTCATCTGCAAACTCAGACTGGGCAGATCCGGTTCTACAGTTTGACCAGAAGGTTTCTGGCTGCTCAAAGGTCACAGCGGCCAGCACTGGGCAGCTGAGTGACCTGATCAAATGTCTACAGGCTAAACGTTTGGTGAACATCACAGATTCACAACACTCACACAAAGCTCTGTGGCCCTGAAAGTGAGAGTATATCCTGCAGTCACAAGTCTTCTCTCCAGAAGAGTCGCAGGCCCCACTATTCTCTTTACTCGTTACCGCTGTCCAGGGCCTCCCCCGGCCACACCACCGCAGCCGACACCAGTCCTCCTTAAAGTGGGGGTTGAAGAAAATGTACAGTATGGGATTAAGGCAGGCTGGCAGGGGGAAAAAAATGAGTGTGACGGACTTCATAACCTCAGGCTTGCTGCCAACACCAGCAAGCAGCGAGGCAAAGGAAAAGGCTGCCACAGGGCAGAAGAAGACACAATTAGTGAAGATGAGCCATGCTACATGGCGGAGCATGCCAGCTTGGTGGGGTTCCATCATGTCCGCTCTCCCCAGACCGTAGTACAGATGTATGTAGACTGTGGCCATAAGCAGGTAGGCCAGGGAGTTGAGCAACACCAAGGCAACAGTAAAGGCCAGGGATGGCGTCTCCTCAGTGGAGAAGGGTAAGCACAGTGGTGAGGAGGAGAATTCTCCAATGTGGAAAAGGGGCAGGAAAGCCATCCCGCTGGCCATGAGCGCCAACAGTGCGGCGGCCTGACAAGCACCGTGGAGCCTGAGCTGCCGACCCTTGCCTTGTTTTGCCCAGCGATGGGCTGACATGCTGCGCTCCACTGCGAACAGCACCAGCAGCAGGATAGACCATTCCGAAGAGAAGGTGGCCAGGAAGACCGCTGTCCGACAGCCAGGACCTGTCTCCCATCGTACGCCAAACTCGGCAAAGGCGCCCCAGGTGGCGACATCCAAGGTGGCCAGCAGACCAACGTAGATGCCCATTAGCAGGTTGGAAGCTGCCAGCAGACCCACCAGTAGCTTGGCTGGGGAGGAGAGGCCCCCAGTGCTGAATGTGGCCACCAGCACTACAATGTTGGAGGTGAGTGTCACCAGACAGATAAACCACACAGTCAACCGGATCATCCAGCTGCCAAGTAACTGCTCACAGGGCTTGTAGGCGCCTGGAAGACAGAAATAATATGATGTTTTTCTAAACCTTTGGAAAGCGGCAAGTGACAGTCACATGAGACTGTTTCAGATGTTTTTCAGATGTTTACAGGCGGTTTACACAAGTCTGATACGACAGGATAAATGTGCTAGTTACCTGGCGAGGGAGAACAGTGCAGCGAAAACTCGAGGCTTTCGGCTTCCTCTTCCTCACCTGCAACATCAAGCACACCTAGCTAATTTCTTTATACACAGACAGGAAATGCAGATTGAATATTTTCATAAGAAGATGATTAAATCATCCAGCCATTATCCATGACTGCTAATGAAGTACAGGGTCATGATTCGCCTGGATCCTATTTAATGATTTAAAAACATTTTGTGATCAGTGTTCTTACTAACAACATTAATAGACTTAAACATTTTTCATGATCTCTGCTTTAAAATCCTTCACAACAATACCAAAAGTTAAAGACTTTTAATTGTTCTTACCTATAATCTTGCTGCCATTGGTCTCAGTCATCTCTGTCTCACAACCCATGAAAGCACAGCATTGGTAGGCATACGGAACAGATATTGTCCTACACAGGAAAAAGTTTTTTTGGACCATTCAGGTTTAGTAAGCGTTTATGATGCACACAGAAATTCTTTTTCTCATAACACACACATTTACAGATGTGAGAGCGAATCTTGGAAACCAGAGAGCTGCAATCAACCATTTTTCTAGTGTCCCTAGGTCAGTGTTTCCCAACCCGCTCCTTGAGGACCCCCAGCCGCTCCATGTTTTTGCTCCCTCCCAGCTCCCTGCCAGAAAGTCCACATGGTCCCTGAAGACGGGTTGGGAAACACTGCTCTAGATCAATTTTTTGGAACCTTTGCTCAAGGGCCCAACAGTGATATGATTACATTGCCAGCCACAGGACTTGAACCAGTGACCTTCCAGACTGTAAAGCCACACGCTGCCCCAAAGCAAGAGTCACTGACCGGAGTTTAGGTAGGTCCCTGGCAGTAAGAGCCCCTTTCATCTCCAGATTTCCTGCAAGCTTTAGCTGACTGACGGCACTCAGACCAGCTGTGGGGAAGCTGCTCAGTAAGTTCAAACTCAGGTCCCTGCAACATATGTTAGGGCACAAAGTAGCAGCACATGCCAGTACAAGACAGAGTAATGCATCATGACACATGCTAACAGCCCACCTTATTAGCGGAATTTATGAATATGCATTCAGTGGGCACTTTAGTATGGTCTCAGCATCTCAGAAACAGCCACCTTTATGGGATTTTCACGTTCTACAATGTCTAGAGTCTACAAAGAATGGTGCAATGAACAAAAAACATCCAGTAAATGGCATTTCTGTGAGCAAAGACACCTTGTTAAAGAGAGGGGTCAGATGAGAATGGCCAGACTCATTAAGCTAACAGGAAGCTCACAAGTGCAAAAGTAACAGCTTGGTACAAAAGGCTCATGGGAGTTTTACTTACACAAAAATGTTCTAAGGGCACAATGAAAAATGATTGGTTCAATGACATAACCATATAATAAAGGAGGTCGGTCCAAGCAACTACAGGAGGTGGGACCAAGACATCTGATTGGTTGGTCCCTTCTACTCTAGTTGGATGGACCCACCTCCTCTACAATCTTATTGGTTATATCTCTGAACCAGTCATTTTTCTTTCTGCCCTTAGATCATTTTTGTGTAAGTGAAACTCCCATGAGTGTACAACAGTGGTGTGCAGAATGGCTTCTTTGAACATACAACTCATATACCCTTGATACTGATTGCTATATGAATTCTGAGAATTAATTTCTGAGTCTGCCTGTAATAGCATATATACAATACAAAGAATTCAGTAATTCAATTCAATAACTGTTCCTATCTTTTGTGATTTTGGAATGATAAATCAGAAATCTTGTCATGTGTCTTCAGATGATGGCAATGTACAACATATTGCAGTATGGGTTACTTACAGGTTTGTTAAAGCCCAGAGAGAAAGGAATGAATCTTTGTGAATATATTTGATTTCATTTCTACTTAGGTCTCTATGAAAGAAAGACAAACATTTCATTAGGACTCGCAGCCATTAGCATTAGTTAAAAAAACAATCACTGTCAGGCTGTGCCTACCCAGTACAATGTTGTAGGGCATGCGTGCACTACATAAAGTTTGCAAAGTTTGTATAAAATCACTGATTGGGATAATTATGCAAACCTCTCAGGCTAGATAGTGTAAGAAATAACTGTCATCCCCCTTACTGGCTCTTAAAATGGTGGCCTTTCAAAAAGGTGTCAGTTCTACTATACTTTTACAAATCCTGGTCATTATGAGGAAATACCAATATCTACCAGGTACAAATCACATAAAACTCACAGGGTATGCAGCGACGCCATGCCCTGGAAGGTGTCCCTATGAATCTGCTGGATGACATTATGCTGGAGGTACCTGCGGAGAAGAAGGGAAGCCCTTACACACCTACAGACAGAGAGTCTTCTCAGTTTTGAATACAGTAATGTAGCAGCATCCATCACTTTCTTTGGGTGTTGCCTCAATTTGGATGTCCACATTACTCACAAAGCATGCCATGTCTTATGTTATTTTTTGACCTTATACATTTGTTAACACAGTTCTATCAAGCAAAATATATTTTTGCACACTGTGCAAATGTGTATTACTGCAGTATATCATACACTGTGTATGCATATTTATACATATATGAAGTACCTTGGATATGGTTTAGGATAGTGTTTCCCAACCCAGTCCTCGGGGATCCCGGGACAGTCCAAGTTTTTGCTTCCTCTCAGCTCCCAGCGCACCTGTACCAGGTATTCGGTGGTGCTGATTGGCTGGGAGCTGGGAGGGAGCAAAAATGTGAACTGTCCCAGGTTCCCCGGGGACTGTATTGGGAAACACTGGTTTAGGACATTATACATTTTTTTAGCCCATAAACAATCCAGTTTATCTGAAATGTGCATGTAAATAATTTAAAAAGACAGACTCTATAAAATAATGTGTCTGATAATGTAAAATTTGACATTTTCATCAGTAAATATGATTTATTTTGATAAAAAGCCAAGCATTACACCAAGGATGGCCCTCATGTGGGGCAGTATTTACTGCCATAATTACACACTTCTCTATGCAACCAGGCTCCCCCCTGCTGTGCAAATGTGGTACTGCACACTGCGACAGCACCGGAGCCAAAGGAATGAACAGCAGCACCACACCACAGCCCCGTCGGATCTGCTGGCTGGGCTCCCGAGGGGCAGCCAGGCGCTGCCTACTTTTAACGAGTGGCAGTCTGGCAAATGATCTGGCATCAGACTGTCATCATGCCTTCCCCAAGACTGCACTACAAACCCGGGCGTCCGTGCCGCGAGGCCATGCGTTCAAATGTAGGCATAGGGGTAACAAATCACAGGCCAAAGAAAACACCATAACGACATAATACTGCAGAGAGCGAATCAGCAAAATAAAAACTGGCAATTACATTCTTATTTTAATTGACCACATTCCTCTGAGGTTACCAAAAGACACAAGTTAAAGGTCTTATGTCTTATTACTCAGATTATACAAAATTTTTGAGCAAAAACTAAAACATTCAAAGCAAGTTACTCCATTAATTTTAAAAGCATTTTCAATGTGCCTTAGGATTCCAGCTAATGTATTGCAGATTCAGTAGCATTTTTATTATAAAATTGACCAACTCCATTCAAAAAACATAAGAAGTCATTTAAAAAGAATGGGATTATTATCATGCACTCAAATAACTGAACCAATACAAGAATATCTGCATCGTTCTTTGTTATGTGTTATCAGTTCTTGTTTTTTTTCTGGTAAAAGCACAGTGAAGAAGCTGTGGATGCGCTATTTTGATCATAGGTTTCAAAGACATCTGTGCCTGTGCCAGAGTTGGAAATTTCAGGTCCAGACAGTAAAAATCCAGACCAAATTTTTGTTTCAACCAACCAGTGGAGTACTCTCTGACTGTGACTCTTTATACTCTTTTGGTTGTTTGATACAAAATCTTGGTTTGTATTTTCTGGACTTGAAAACCTTCTGATTTTAATAGCACAGGTCCAAATAACTTACTCCTGTAAAATTAACCAGAAAAGAAAAGATAGCATTTGTACCTTGCATATTCTCATTAATGCCTGAAGTTACTATCTATGGTTGAATCTACTTCCATTATCAAGCAGGTCAGGGCTGAGTAAGAAAAAAATTCTATAATATTGAATACAAATTGTTCAACTGGATCAGTTAAAGAAATGGTAAAACTCAAGAATCAAACCTTACATTTCCTCTATCTTGAAGCACCTTTGAAAGCTGGGGAGCTCTTCAATTTTGTTGTAGGATAGGTCTCTTGCGGAAGGATGAAAGAAGTTTTTAAGGCATGTGACAGAATTTACCAACCACTGCTCTCCACTGAAACCAGCCCAGGGGGTGTTCTGGTCAGACCGCAACTTCACTTACAATGCTCGAAGCAAACCAAGGTCCTCACAAAGCGTAGAGGGAATGTCACTGATTTTAGTCCCACTCAGTGTCCTGAGAAAGACCCAGCAGAAACCAGTTATAAACGAAACACAATGTATCATTACCCTGAAACCACATGTTAACTGGCAGTTCCTTACAGCTTTAGTGTATCTGTGTATCTTGTGTTTTGTGTGGGTTGAAAAAAGGTAGAGGAATAAAAAGATTTTGTGGGTATTTAAGCTGAAGTATGACATGCACCCCCATCTTAAGCTAGAATGAGAGGAGGAGGTACGCTGAACAGAAAAAGCTTGAGGCCCACTGGTGTGGGGGGGGGGGGGGGGTGTTGGACTCACAGGCTCTCCAGATTGCTGGTCCCAGTGAGGCTGAGGAAGTCCTTCAGCAAGCTGGCTCCACGCAGAGCCCTGTAACAAATGTGCAGAATCAGTAAGTCTGCCATCTGAAACATCATGAAAGGATCCACTTTCTCATTAGATACCACTTATTAGTATAACATTGTACAAATCACTGCAGTTACCCAGGCATCAAGGCTGTGAATTTACTAGATAACTAGGGATTTTTTGTGCTTAGCCATTCTAGTTGAAAAATGACCTAATTTCTCATAAACCTCTTAGCAAATTTAACTGACACGATATTCTCCCTACAGCTTTCTTTCCTCTATACCATGACAGGCTATTTTTTCACTTCTTCTGGAGACTTACAGAGCAGGCAAATCTGTGAGGTTCTGGAATGCTGAGTGTCCCACGAAGGAGAGAGGGTTATCATATAGGTGACTGCAGAAGAGAAGCCAGAGAAGATGAAAGATGAGAAGCAATATTATTTTCTGAACAAACCTAGCTGTGCTTGTTGGGATTGAAACCAATACCGCATTCTGAATAACTACTCTACTTTCAAGTGATTACTCCCTGTCCACCAACAATGTAATCAACAATAGCAATTACTATTCAAAATACTGATCTTTTATTTAAATCTAATTCTATATTTCTTTATCTAATTAAAGGCTAAAAAATTCTTACATGGTACGAAGAAGAGGATTCTTAAGGAATGCTCCATCAGGAATCACTGCAATGTTGTTGCTATGGAATCCACTGGAGGTTTGGGAAAAATCACATAATGTCAATGATTCCACTGGCTAACAACATTAATAGTCAGAAGTGAATATCTCTATGTGTATATAGACATAATAGCCATGCTGTCACAGCGGGCCAAAGGAATGTTCTCAGCAATTAACTGAAAAGCCATTATTTGCTGAAATTAATTACCCCACATCAATCAACATTTTATTTTCCCACTTTGAGAAGATGGGGAGAGGTCTTGCACCTGACCTCGATACCGGTAGGACTGATCAGTAAATATTTCTTTAATGTGCCTGATGCTGGGAATCATGGGGTCACTGACAGGAGACGGCACCCTCATTTGTGTTTCCCCAACTCCAACCTGAACCGCCAGAGAGGGTAAGAATAAAAGGACTAGATGCTAAAACCTCACATGGGCAATTCTTTCAACCCTTAGGGAAAATTTCACAGCCCATCCATGAAAAGCAGAGGTCATATCTTTGATTTCCATCTAAGTTAATGAAGTACACATGATGCTGGTGTGTATACTGTGTATAAACAGTGGTACAGGCCATGCTTGTTTCTCCTGTCAAGTGCAACTCTGTCTGAGTCCGTATGCGTGTGTCTGCGTGTGTGTATACAACCTAGACCACTGAAAAGAATTTAAGTTCTTTAAGAGAATTTACCCCGTAAATATCCAGTTCTATAATTGTGCAAAAGTATTTTACACAGCATTTTGTCCATGCATCTTCCAGTTACAGTACAGAGTTATGGGGTAAGGCACTCTATTTCACTGAATTCTTCTGTTATCCAGTTCAATTAATGAAAGTCTAAATATATCACTTTCTCAAATGTTTACAAAACAGCAAAGAAATAAGAATAGAACAGAGAATGACTATCAATGAATAACTAAAGACTTACAGTTCCTTCAGTTTGGGCAACGTCTGGATGGCCATTGGGAAGGACTCCAGGCTGTTAAAATTTAAATCTCTAAAATGAAAGAGCAAGAAACAACTGTGTTACAGCTGCATACTCTACCATACTCAACATACTCAACTGCCATACTCTACCTCAGTGAGACCCAGCATGGCCATACTCTTCCTTGGTGACACGCAGCATGGCCATTCTCTACCTCAGTGACATCCAGCATGGCCATACTCTACCTCGGTGAGACCCAGCATGGCCATATTCTAGCTCGGTGACACCCAGCATGGCCATAATCTACCTCGGTGACACCCAGCATGGCCATACCCTACCCTGGTGAGACCCAGCATGGCCATACCCTACCTCAGTGACACCCAGCATGGCCATACTCTAGCTCAGTGACATCCAGCATGGGCATTCTCTACCTCTATGATACCCAGCATGGCCATACTCTAGCTCAGTGACACCCAGCATGGCCATACTCTACCTCTTGGAAGTTTTATCACTCCCCTGGCCCATGAAATCATTTAATAGTGGTGTATTTTAGGACCTTGTCTTCAGTCCCTCATGTTGCGTTATAATCATACTAAGCGTTCATTTCTTGTATGCTTTTAGTCTGATTTCCTTTTCTACATTGCACAAAACACTTTGTTCTGACTACGGATTTTGATATGGTGACTTTTCCAGTTCCACGATAAACTCCCTGCGTCTTGGATCACGATTTTGGACAATGATTTTGAGAATAAGAACGCTTTGTTTCCACAACTGGATCATGTCTTTCCAATATATTAGAGTTAAAGCTTATTAGGTTCAGGTCTTTGAATGCTTCAGTAAACAAACAGGCATGATCTGGGCCAGTCCTCTTCAAAATAAACCAAACTAATGCTGATGCATATAATGAAAGTGAAGCTGACAGCACGTAAATACACCATTCCAAAATAAAAAGAAACTTAAAAAAAATTACATTAGTCTGGAAAAGGTTACAAAGCCATTAGTAAACCGATGTGTATCCACAAAACCACAGTTATAGTCATCTTGTCTAAATGTCACAGAGAATTAGAACATGCAGGGATCTGCAGACCTGTCTGGCCTCTGATGAGGAAATTGCTCAAAATGACATTGGGCAAAAATGGGATGCATGGTCAGAAACTGTTCACCGAGAAGAACATGAATGCTCATCTTATGCTTGCCAAAAAGTCTCTGTAAGAGTTCTAGAAAAAGACTGTATTGACAAATGAGTCAGATGTGGAACTTTTTGGTTGACAAGGACCGTGTTATGTCAAATCAGACACTGCATTCCATGGTAAAAACCTCACACCAACAGTCACGCATGATGGTGCATGTCATGGTATGAGGGTCCTTTTCTGCATCAGGATCTTGCCATTGAAGAAACCATGAATGCTGCTTTGTATCACTTAACTCTGCAAGACAATGTCAGACCATCTGTCTGTGAGATGAAGCCAAAGCTGGAGAGCGTTATGCAAAAAAGACAACCGTAATAAAACAAAAACAGATTGGCCTAGTCTAATAAAATATAAACCAGTAATTACAGCAAGTGTTATGGTTATACTTATTTCTGCTAAGGTGCCAGTAGCCATTATTAACATTAGTTACTCTAGGGTGTAATGTGTATTATATATTCACTATTTACTATTCATGTTAGATAATATTCGGCCTTGGCTGAAAAAAATGTGCCAAAATATATGAATTGATGGAAAATTAGATGGGTACTGAATGTTATGTTGGTATTAAAATTAAGTAAGCACATAAAACCAGTATAGGGCTAAATACTCATAGTCCAGGCTTCAAACAAATGACATACTTAGTTTTATATTACGTTATGGAGAATAAAGCAATAGCCATGATTTTGAACAAGTTAATCAAGTCACATGCTAAACACCAAAACTACTTTATTTAGTAGTATATTGATTGTTTCCAGGCCTCAGAAATCAGACACCTTCTATAATTCAGATGATTCTGTTGAATGAATTATCCAACATACGATCTGAAATATGATCACATTTTAATTAAGTGTTTTTTTGTAAAAAGGGGTACTAAATGTATTCTGACCACCCCAGGCTAGAGACGTTGAGACGTTTACATCCACTGTGTTGCAGGAGGAAATGAAAAAAGAAAGTGGAAATGCGATAGCAATCTCGGACTACACAGTACTTATCTTGGCAGAAATTACTAGAGGAAGTTGATACACCAACGTCCTGCTCCAGTGAGGAAGAAATAATGTCCTACTGAGCTCTGTCTCATCATCTTTGGAACAAACAAAAGTATCCCAACAGTTCCCAGACTGACGGAGATCATTGCATTGAGTGACATGTTTTTCAAATGCCTTAAACCCAGAACTTAAACTTAGGAGAATTATATATAAAAATGGAAGATTAAAAACTACATTATTCAAAAATGTATTCTCTAAAATAATTTGTGCTTGTAATCTGTTACCGCAAAACCCCTCAGCAGGAGAAGCGCTGGGGAGGTGATGATGACGGTGCTGTTAGTTTTATTTCCTTTAAATTTTGTAGAAAAAAGAAATGCCACAAGAAGGAGCCAAGGTTAATTTAAAATAAACCATATCTGTAGTTCTACCAACCTAACAGTAACTAGACAGACCATACATTTCAATGAATGAAACTCACCCACAGGGAAAACCAAAATTGTACTGTTGCCGTTGTTGTTTCTGGTGTGCTGTCTAAACATTTCAAAATTTATCAGTAAAGAACATAGCTAAATGGAAAAAAATGGGACCAAGTGGTAAGAGATGTTTGTTGTGCATCTCGGACAATTCTCAAAACATGGATGACAGCATGATCAATCACAGATACCAAACTATATATATAAAAAACTGATGCTGAGATACTTACAGCGTTTCTAGATTATCCAGTCTGTGGAAGCTGTTCTTGCCAAGTTTTTTAATTTTATTGTTGTGCAAATGCCTTATAAGGAAAAATATGGTTAGCTGCCATATCTATCAGTCCTAGATCTACTTTTACTCATCTTAAAAGACACATGCCTTCAAATATATTATATGGTTTAAAATTACAAAAAAAAAATAGTTTAGAGAGTAGTGAAGAGAAACTAACAGAACCACCAGACTGGAGAGATTGGCGAAGGCATTATCAGGAATGTAGGAGATGCAGTTCAAGGCCAAGGTTAGCGCTTGAAGGTTGCCCAAGTTGCTAAGTGGTCCAACAGGGATCTCTGAGAGGTTGTTGTCATCTAACCACAGGTAGCGTAGCTGTGGCAGGCCCTCAAAGCTGTCTTCTGGCACCACAGTGATGTGGTTAGCATCCAGACGCCTGTAAAAAGGTGACACCTCTTAGGCCATGATCATAACTGCAAGTACAGTTAAGCAGATGGTTAAGGCACAATGAAGTTCAGATCCTCAGTCCACTGTACTTAACCACATTTTACTCAATAAAAACATATTCCCAGAGCAATATAGTGTTATTTTCTGTAAAATGCATAAATTACAACACGTTTTATACGATACAGAGTGTATAAGGTATGTTCAGACTGGGTATTACTCAGCATCTAAGTGCAATGAAATGCCAAGAAGTGGATTCAGACAAGACACATCTCTGCCTCAGTGGTTTCTGCTGCCCCACCAAAATGAAGGATGATGATCTTTGCCAGAAAACTGAAGCCAAATGATTTCCTGCTTGTGAATGGCAAGCATTTTCTTTTCCCTGCGGCATAATGACCTCTCAGCGGGGCGACACAGATTTCCTCCCCTAAACAGGACATGGACTCCAAAACACTGTCAAACATGTTCTTAAAAACACACCAAACTTTTTATTTTTTACTTAGGAATGTTACGTTGGGAAAAAAGAAACATTCAGAACATTAAGCCTCAAAACTGTGGAATTTTATAATTTTGACACAACTGTAGATTACCAGTTAATTTTTCTTTATGTTTCCAATTTTTATGTTCTGAAGTGAATATTTTGTGTGTAAAAAAGATTTTGTTTTGAAATAGCTAAAGATTGTCATTAAGATTTAAAAACATATATATACTCCTGAGACCACACCCATTCATTTATGTCCATTGCAGTGGACATTTTGTTTTTGTATATATCTTTTCACTGATGTAAGGAAACATATTTATTCCTGTTGTACACTAAAGAGGACATGCTGTGAAATTAAAAATAAAAATTAATTTGAAAAAAGATGTCTTATTTCCTCCAAAGACATAGAAAATCACAATTAACCTAAAACTGAAGGACACTTTTTTCCTTGGGTCTCAGGAGAATATCTGAATAAAGAACATAAGTGGCTTTACCACTGATCTTTAACTTTGTACACCACATATGCTTCACTGCTTTGAAAATTTTTATGAGGATGTTTTCAATTAAAGAGAAGCCTTGCTTATTTTGATGTTAAGTAATATCACCAGGACTAAATTATGACCAAATTATTACTAATGACATCAGTGCTCATCATATCGCATTCATTCATTCGCATTCAATTATAGCTGGGAGATGAAAAGTGGATGTGCTCCACGTTTAAACTACAGATGCAGTGCAACAAGAATGGATTTCAAGTCAAATTCTTTATGGGTTAAACCACCAACCATTTCTTCAAGAAGTAGAAAAAAGAAGGCCATACATTACTAAGAATAATAAGCATTACTTGCTACAAGAACACTGCTACATCAGTCTATCCAAATGTTGCCTCTCAGTCTGTTTTCAACAATAATCACGCTGTTTATCTTGAGACTGGAATCCACCACATCTGGCATGCATATTAGGGTTTTAATATTTGTCTAAAAAAGCCTGGGGGACACTCCTGCTCCTAATGCACTCCTACTTTCTGCTCATCCTTATTCTCCTCCTTCTTGCTTTCTCATTTAAAAAATCCCTTCTCAGTCCATGCCAGAATGAACAAAACAGTAGTGTTGACAGACAGCTTACTCTCAGAGGCTTGGTACAAAGTTAGCTTTGGTCTGCCAAAACATATTACTCCGGCTATAAAGCTGAAGCCCTCGGGGGAGGGGCAGAGACATCTGCCTTGAGGAGGGGGACAAAGAAGGGGAGCAAAAACATGCAGTCTGGTTTGGAGAAGATCTGGTGGAGCGATAATGAATGAATGCTTGCTTTTGGATCAAGGGTGCTGAGCTTCCATTCTGCTATGTGGATGAGAGGCACAAGCCCATAGACCACAATGCATAGGGGACGCACTCATTGGCTAGCAGTGGGTGAATATAAATACCATTCAGGTGCATGTAAAAGAACTGCCTATAGCATTGAGCTATGAATACATAGAAAACATCTCATTAGGTATCCATGTTGGTTTTTTATCATTAAGATCCTACCACCAATTTCGATTTCAACTCATTATCCAACCTGAAATCCATGAATACTTCATGTTTCTTGGGTAAATACATGAAATGTAATGGAAGGTAATGCATTATAACACAATAACAATAAAAACCAGCTTAAAATATTTAAATCTGAGTACATCAGAGCAACATTTACTATGACTTACATGACAATTTTCAACAATAGAATTAGTTACAGTAGCATTATGCCAGAGTAATCACCGACATAAGATATTTTAAACACAAATGAAAATGCCTTATGAGCAGAGCTATAAGCAGCCATAGAACATTGCCCCCTACACTGCTCCTATGAAAACGACACTAACAGAGAGTCCGGAGCCACGTTGTTGGATGCCCAGGAGCCAACAGAAGTAGAGAGTGTCGTCAGATAACTTACAGAGACTGGAGTGAGGGTAGGGCTTTTAGGGATAGGCTAGGCACAGTCTTCAGATGGTTATTCTGCAACATCCTGAAAAGATAGCATGACATATTCAGTCACAGCATTGCCCCTGCCTTTAATTACCATTATGCATATTATTGATGATTACCAATGATTCCCATTATGCATAAAGAAGGGTCAGTTTCGGAGAACAAAGTGTGATGGATTGACTGCTGGCTACTCAAAACTACACTGGTCCCTTCCTGATAATGTCACATGACTATGCTAAGAACTGAACACAGCTGGTTTATTTGCCTTCCTCTCCCTTATCAGTCCATTTGGGTGTTGCTACAGCGCACTGAAGTCCATTGTTTTCCTTTCTGTGCAGAAGCAATGGTTGTTACAGGGGTGTATAATGAGAGTGGAGGCTTATGGGTGTTCACCCTATCCTCATGCTGGCCAGGACCAGCCTTTCACAGAAAGCTGACTTTATGTCATCTACATGGCTATGGCAGAGACGCCCGTGCCAAGAATTGTAGAGACTGATCTGTTCAAGATGCTACAAAAAATATGTTCGGGACACAAAGAGCATGCTGTATATACTTGGCATTATGACAGGCGAACTACTTTGCATGCTTCGGAAATGTTCACGAACTGAGTTAACTTGGTGTAACACAAGGCAGTGATGAATCCTGAGAAAAACATCCACAATTTGTGCCAAATTTATTCGGAGTTCGAATGTCATAAGAAAAGTCATAATCCTCATAATCCTGAATTGAAATTTCTGAGGCTTTTCATGAGTCACCATTTCACACATTTGTACCCTACACCTCCTATACTGTCCAAAGACTTTCACTTAGTTTATCTGATAATTTCAACAAAAGTACAGTAAAGTAAAAAAAAAGAGGTTCCGACGTATTATGGCTATGATCACAACTTGCTGTTTTAGTTTCATGCCATTAAAAATACTGCTAAAAATGAAAATAAAAGTTTTAAAATCCAACTTATGTGGTCAATCAAATGTTCACAAAGACATACACACACCAAAATCTTGACCAGAGAGTTTAAAATATATCAGCATCCAGTGGCTAGAATGTCAAAAAATTGCAACATTTATTTAGGAGGAAATAAAGCGCTTGAGAATTTTCTAATTAGTTTCTGTGGGCCCAAGTTCAACACTTTATCAGTTGGACTTGAAAGCTGACGTTCATTTTTCCTTTTTGTACCTTGGAGAGCTAGTGAACTGACGCAATACCCGCTAGAAAATGATATGACTGATATGACACACTGACAGCAAGCATGGCAAGTAAATGGCTAACAATACAAAAAAAAGTTAAAAATCCATGTGATGCAAATCATAAGCTTGTTAACAACACAGGACCAGTACCCAAAGAAGTAACTTAAACTGGGTATTATATAAGTAATAAATGCCTAATGGTTTTCTAAAAAGAACCATGTGTTGCTGTTAATATAAAGGATTCCTATATAAAACAACTACGCATTCTTTATTTCAAATTGATGTTGAAGTGCAATTCCTCCCCACAATTCATGCAGGTCCAATGTCATAAAAAAGCTATAAAAACAAGCCAACATTTTTCCATCAAAGTCATCTAGGAAGAGACATGGTTAATGGATTGTAACCATTTTTTTTTTAATTACCATTAGTATTAACTGAAAACTTACAAGACTTTAAGCTGGTGGAGTCCAGTCAGAGCCTCAGGGTGGATGAAGGTCAAGTCATTCCCAGCCAGCCGCCTGATGAGGAAAAGACAGAAATTCACACTTGGCAATAAACACAACTACATTCTCACATGGATGCAAAAACGGGTATTCACAGGCACTTCAAGTGCCCACAATCAATGAATTTGGTCTAACACAAATAAATACTACAAAACCATAAATAGCTGACCAATTTACATGTAAATCAATTTAATATATAGTAATGCTAATTAAATGCTAATTAAACAAAAAAAAACATCTAAAGCAGTTGGATCACTGAAAAGGTGAATAACTCAAAAACTCACATACTATTATATGTTTACAAGTATAATAAATGGACTTTAAATAACAAATTTTCCAAACCAATGATTATATCTGTTTTGTATAGACAGTGCAGCTCCACTGTCCAGGAGCACAGAAGTGGCACTGTCTACCTGTTAATAAGTAATTATTATTAAATTGTAAACCATTTACTTTGTGTAATAATTCCCACTACCACCTCATAAAAATATCTAAATTATACATGAATATATATTTATATGAATTTCTATAATTGCAATTAAGCAATAACACCACCTCCATTTTGCATGGTAAATTACTTGGTAGGATAAAATGGCAAAATAAATTTCAAAGGTGTCCAATTGCATGCAGCTGAAAATGATGAAAATATTTGTTTTGTGTAGAAAAATTCCAGATCTTTCCCCAAACATCTGGAGTGAAAATAACCCTCAAGAATACAACAGAAGTACTTTATGTATTTTGTATATTAACTGAGAATGTAAAAGGACCAAACTGGCATGTTTCGTGCATTTAATTTCCCCAGCACATTCTTAGGTTTGGCAGTAGGGAATTTTGGGGAAAAGACTGCAGTAATGGAAAAGTATAGTTTCATGAGTCTTAAGTCAGTCATTTTTTCTTCATTTATATAAATAGTATTTCTAATCCAAAAATCTGTAAGAAACATTTTATGTTACTACTATAAAATGCATGCATTAACAATGGAAGAAGAAATATGCTAGGGGTGGTGTGTGTGTGTGTGCTCTGTGGGACAGTGCTCTGTGCCCATATCTGGAAGGGTGTGAGTTCAAATCCCGCAGCTGGTAGAGTGATAATAGTAATAATATCACTGCTGGGCCCATAACCACAGGGGATTCTGGGAGACCCTGCTTTCAAACCCCCACTTGTATTTTGCTTTAGACAAATTAAGTAAAGGTAACAATACAAATAAACAGTCACACTGTAAATGTGATTCAAAGTTTCAGTAAATTACAGCATGGTCATCAAGCCATATGACCAATGAAGATAGACAGGCAATTGTGACGTATATAAACAATGGTGTAATTAGATGTGTAACTAAATGCAACCACAGCGCATAAATCCTATTAATCCCAGCAAATAATTGCAAATTTCTAAAAATTATAATTTGACTAAATTGACTTGTAGCAGCTGTGGCCTTCAATAATGAACTTCTTAAAAATTAAGACAAATATATATTCACTAACAGTTTTTACTCACAAATAGCAGAACCACATTGATTTACATATAGACATCTTGGTCAGGGTAAAAGCCATTGCACAATGCATACAATATTCATAGCATGGAACTAATAATGCCTAGATGTCGGTGGACTTCAATGAATGAAATTATCTATAGTGTGGCGTGTTTGTGTATAAAATCGAGCTTTAATAAAGACTGCAGAAAACCCCCCTGCTGGGATTTAAACGCACATCACAGTCTTTCTGCGAATTTCAGCAGTCAAAACAAAGAAATTCCTCCTCGATATGGTCATGAAAATTATCAAATAACTAACAAACAGCACTGATTTATCAACACAAAGCTGAATGATCTGTTAAGTTTTTAATTTGGACTAATACGATGTGCTTAATCAAGACCACTCACCAGAATTTAAAAATAAATTGTCCTATGTTTCTGAGGAAAAAGAGGTTTCAGTAAGCAGTACACCTGCTACATTCACCTATGTTTCTTATATCTTATGTCTTTTTCAAATGTTTCAAGTCAATTTCTGAAAAAAGGGCTGAAAGCAAACCTCGCAAAACAGGCAGCAACGAGTACACCATAGAGTACAAAAGAGTAATTTATATGTAAATACTGTCATGATGATGAAGAGCTGTAAGAAAGCAGTGCAATGTAGAAGAGCTAGAGCAGCCATGCGAAGCAGCCTTTGACCTATGTCAGTTCGGTCCCAGTCACATTCATTCCAGCATTTTCACCTCTTACAGTCAACTTTTTAAATATTTTACTCCAGACTTGTGCAAAATTCAAATTTACAACTGCAACACAATGGTCAGGTTTACTGAAATGAATAATAAGGAATTTGTAGGAAATTGGCCATGTCTGTGGCCGCTCGGTGGTTAGCGCTCTTGCTTTCCCCCCTCCAGGGTTGGGGGGTTCAAATCTGTTCCTGGAGTTCTCTCTGTGTGTCCTGGGTTTCCTCTGGGGACTCCAGTTCCCAGCCACAGACCAAAGAGATGTGGTTAGGCTAATTGGTGTCTCTAAATTGCCCAGAATGTACATAAGTGTGCACATGAACCCTGTGGCACACATACCCCCCATGATTGGAAGATAGATGCATTGTCTGCTGCTAAAATTATACTGGCATGTGTTACTTAGTTTTGTGTTCATTAACAATGTTGATAATTGTCAAAGTGAATGTAACATTTACATTGAAACTGAAATGCACATATTTTTTCCTGGATGCCAATGTTAATATAAAGCTAAGGCAGAATGTACAATCTGGAACACGCTCCTTATAGACTTTTTTTTTTTCATTTTCAGAATATCCAGTGGTGTTTTATCAGGTAGAAACCAGAATGGTGTTTCATCCTAGACTTTCTGGCAAGTAGCTTCAGGCAGAACCTCTTAAAACACTCTGATTTTGAGCACTGTCTTTAAACCTCCTGTCACATTTTCCACTCCACTTACCAGCAGAGTTAACTCCTTGATAGTCAAAAACAAAACAGTGCATTTAAGTGCTAACTGCATGCCACTAATGTTTCAGTTTCTCTGAATTCTAGGTGAACCTGTTTGACTTTGTCAAGATCCCTACACCAAAAGACTTCTTCGTATCTAGCTACAGAAAGTATATTCAAAAAAGATAGGACGCATGTCCAACAACTGATCCTCAAATGACAAGGGCTCCTATAGTGAAGAAACCTCACCCTAAAATTTCACATGACAAACATATCACAGTTTAAAGAATTATGGCTCCCAATAATAGCTAAATTATACTTGTGAAAGCTTATGGTTACGTTAAAGAGGCACAGGCTTGGGTTTGGCTCATTTCATTGGGTCATTTCTGGTGTAAACTCAGAGCATGCCAGATACCGCATAGCACCCTAAGGCACGTGTGCTGGCTCTCCCACTTGCCGCATGCCTGTGCTGCACTGCACTACACTGGGAGTCTCCAGTTGCCATCTGCTAATGTGCAACCATCCTCCAGGATCTGCCAGGCAAAGTCACTTTCTCTTACTGCATTTGCAGTAATTTACAGAACTACAGCATTTATTTAGCATAAGCTTTTCTCCAAAGCAACGTACAACTGAGAGAGCAGGGTCAGCCAGTCCCTGGAGCAATTGGGGTTAAGTGCCTTGCTCAAGTGCCCAATGGTGGAATCACTCTACTGACCATGGGATTGGAACCAAAGACCTTCCGTTCACAGCCACATCTTAACCCAAAGAGCCATAATTTATCCAAGTTCTGAGATAAATTTTATAGCAATACACACATGTATATAATGAGTATTCTTGAATCCAACTGCAACCAACTGATTAGCTTTTAACTCATTACATTCTGAGGACTGATTACAAATTAGAATGTGTAATAAAAGCCTATATTTTTATGAAATACAATAGGAATATCTAAGCATATTTATAAGTTTTAAAAATAAGAGCACTAATCTCATAACATACTGATGACACAGAGACAGAGAAATTAAAAATACAGAGAAACAAACTGCTAAACCATATAATCACATTTCACTCTCATTTCAAAAACACCCAACCCCCACTCCACAAAAAAATGTCAGGACATGTCTCATAAGGCTTAACAGAGAAGAATGCGTTCTTCCCTTGTTATGGAAAATTTTGCCCCCACCCCTGAAAAGAAAAAAAAAACACTGCCTTGCACCTTGTGTCTGAACAGGCACTTCTCCTATACCTCATACCCCATAAAGAACTACAGATCACAATTTCCTGCCATATTTCTTTCAACACTGCAAGCAGACTCCTTTGTGTTACTCAGGAGAGCCGGACAGGACTGAGCGGGATGGAGACCTGTGTGACTACCAAGAAAGGAATGTTCTTACCTCAGGGGCTGGAAAGACAGCCAACCAGCTGTGAGGTGTGATACAGGTATGCCAACAGGCTGCCCGATGCATCCATGTGGATTCCAGCACCGTTTCCATCATACCCATGGTAAAAGCAAACGACATGAAAGCTTTTCTCACCTGCTTAGCTGTGTGCTCAGCTCAAGATGAAAAAAACTAACAACTCCAGAATGCAAAGCTAAGACCTGGGTAAAATTGGTTAAAGTTTTCCCCCAAGTTGCACTGAGGCAAGCAATTAACAATTTGTGTAAATAATGTTGACTGCAGAGGAACCTGAGGTCAAATACAAATTGTACTCCTTCAGGGACAGCTGATTAGAATTTGCTGTGCGGTTTCCTTGTAGAAAGCCCCAGTGTTCTTAGACTTCCCAAGGGAATTCGCATGTGGGAGCTCTACTGTATGTGTGGAGTGGCCTTTTTTTCAACTTTCATGACATAAACCAGATTGCATTCCAGATTGTGGAGCAGAAGGTTAAAATGGGTCTGGCAGCCATGAAAGGCGTCTCTGAATCAGGAATGGACAGAGATGTTGTATTTCGACCACTGTGAACTGACTTCATTGTTCTGAAAAGCAAGGACTGATTGTGTTTAGAAAAACTTTTCCACCCTATCTTCCAAAAATAAGGCCACCATGAATCAGAACTGGTTCTTGTTTGTTTTACAATGTCACAATATGGGTCATATTAGCAATTTTATTTTACTCAGATTATGAGGATCAGTCATCCAAGGTGTTCAGTTTCAAAGTTTTACAGGTGAGCCACTACAACAAGAATGCAAATTCTTCAGCATACATGGAAAACCACTTAAAAAATTTTTTTTTATAACATTTCACCCTGCTGTTAACATTGGTTTAAAGCAGACAAAAAGGTAGGTGTTGGAGAAGCAGAAACACTGGGAAGCAAGTTAACCACAGGGGGCTGTGTGGCTCACTGCTCAAAGCCTCCATGCCTCCAATCAGAAGGTTGCTAGTTCAAGACCAGCCTTAGTACAACTACAAACTCCATGACCCCCAGCTCCCTAGGTGCCACTACAAGTGGCTGCCATTCACAGCCAAGGTTGTTCTCAGCACTTCCCATTGATTGCAACCTCCTTTCTGAATGAAGAAGGTCCAGATATTCCTCTAATTCAACTCATACAGATACCAAACAACACCACAGAGTGGCCTAAGTTTGAAAGGTGCACCTCAACAATACTTCTAAAGAGAACCAGTTGCCATTAGCAGTCTCCAGCCAAAATTACTTTTAGTTTTCCAATGGTAAGGAGTCAATGATTTGGTAATATCAGGCTGACTGACAAAAAAATATTTCCTGAATTCTCAAACACACAGTACCCTTATACTCATATAATAGCTTACCAGTAACTTACCAAGAAAATGATTTTCAAAGTGACTGTACAAGACAGTCAATGCTTCAGAAAATTGAACTATAAATCCTAAGTAACTCAAGGTTAGAAATGTCAATCACAGAAGTCTCAGCCTCTGACGAGCCACTGACTTGAATTTGTCAACTGACCATTACATAAAAATGATGCTATATTGCAAACCTGGCAAATACATTATATGACTATGGTCTGCTTTTGCGAGAAGACAGGGGAATACTCACAACTCTTCCAAATAGGGGAGGTTTCCGAAGACGTTTGCTGGGAGTTCTGTGATGTTGTTCATGCTAATGTCCCTGTAAAAAACGGACAGAGAATTAGTATGCAATTTAAAGCACGTAAAAATGTATTTTCCTCATGCCATTATTACATAACAGTTTGATGTACAATACAGTACTGCTGAATAAAAGAAATTGTCTCCCGATTAACATCATATGAGTGTTTAAAACACACACACTGCCATACTGGGGGCAGTGTGTGGCTCAGTGGGCTAAACCTGTGTGTCTGTAATCAGAAGGTTCAAACCCAGCCTCAGCACGTCTGCAGGTCCTTGAGCAAGGCCCTTAACCACCAGCTCCCTGGGCACCGCTACAGGTGTCTGCCCTTTGCAGATAACTTACTCTACAAAATAGAGCAAGTTGAGGGAGGTGTAAAGACAATTTCCCCACAGGGATCAATAAAGTATTGATTATTATTATTATTATACATGCCATAGCATGCCTGCATCCTCTGATGTCTCCTTCCTCAACGAGCTCAACAACTTTTATGCTCGTTTTGAGCGAGGGAATCCAACTACTGCGACTAAAGCAGACGTGACTCCGGACCAGCAACCACTGACTCTCTCCCCCACTGGTGTAGGAGCGGTGCTGAGCAGGATTAATGTCCACAAGGCTGCAGGTCCTGATGGCATCCCCGGGCGTGTTCTTAGAGCGTCTTCTGGGGAGCTTGTGGGAGTGTTGACAGACATATTCAATCTGTCCTTGGCCCACGCTGTGGTACCGGCCTGCTTCAAATCCACCTTCATCGTCCCGATACCCAAAAACTCCAAAACATCGAGCCTCAACGACTACCGCCCAGTAGCTCTCACCCCCATTATCACAAAGTGCTTAGAGCGGCTGGTCCTGGCACACTTCAAATCCTGTCTCCCTCCCACTCTGGACCCCCAACCAATTCGCATATCGTCAGAACAGGAGCACAGAGGATGCATTCTCCATCGCGCTAGACTCTGTTCTCTCACACCTGGACAATAAAAACACCTACGCCAGAATGCTATTTATAGACTTTAGTTCAGCGTTCAATACAATCCTCCCCTCACAACTCATTAGGAAACTGACAGACCTAGGCATCAGTTCCCTCATGTGTAAATGGTTACTGGACTTCCTGACTAACCGGCCCCAACATGTCCGGCTGGATAAACACTGCTCATCTACCATCACAATGAACACCGGTGTACCACAAGGCTGTGTGATGAGCCCTTTCCTCTACTCCCTCTTCACCCATGACTGCAGACCTGCCGATGGTTCCAACACCATCATTAAGTTTGCAGATGACACCACGGTGATTGGCCTCATCAATGATAACGATGAGGCCGCCTACTTGGAGGAGGTGGGTCGTCTGGCTGAGTGGTGCGACACCAATAACCTGCTGCTTAACACCGAGAAGACCAAGGAGCTCATCGTGGACTACAGGAGGAATGCTGACCCACATCCACCCATCTACATTAAAGGGACGGCTGTGGAGCGTGTGAGCAGCTTCAAGTTCCTGGGTGTCCACATCTCAGAGGATCTCATTTGGACGATCAACTGCTCCAAGCTGGTCAAGAAGGCTCACCAGCGCCTCTTCTTCTTGAGGACTCTGAGGAAGAACCACCTGTCCTCAGATATCCTGGTGAACTTCTACCGCTGCACCATCGAGAGCATCCTGACTGACTGTATAACAGTCTGGTATGGGAATTGCTCTGCCTCGGACCGGAAGGCGTTGCAGAGGGTCGTGAAAACCGGCCAGTGCATCGCCGGAGCACCACTTCCTGCCATAAACGACATCTACAGGAAGAGGTGTCTGAATAGGGCTGGGAAAATCATCAAAGACCCCAGTCATCCAGCACATGGACTTTTCACTCTCCTGCCCTCTGGGAGGTGCTACAGGAGCCTCCGGACTAAGACCACCCGGTACCAGAACAGCTTCTTCCCTACAGCTGTCAGACTCCTGAACTCTGCCTCCTGACCTAACTGCACTACTGTAAATGCTGTATAAACAATCATTTTTGTACAATACGGAAATTATAATTCTACAACTGTTTATAACTGTATTATACTTATAGTTGTAGCATATTCATAACATACCTTTATACCGTGTACATTGTAACATACCCGTAATAGACTGATATTTTTGTACCCTAATATCTATAATAGACCCATTTTTGAAATATATCTATATATCTATAGTATTGCTAATATATATTCTGTAAATATTATGGCTAAAGCACTTTCTGGATGGATGCAAACTGCATTTCGTTGCCAGGTACTTCTGACATGTGCAATGACAATAAAGTTGAATTCTATTCTAATTCTATTCTATAGAATGGCTTAGTTTCAGATGTCAGTTATAAATGATTCAGCCCAGTTGTTCATTTAGAAGGATGAGTAACATTGTTCTATCGTACAATAAGGAAATAGTGATGGCAGAATTTATAGAATGTTGCAGGATTTTGGGGATATGTTGAAGTGGGTCATTTGAAACCGTTACTAGTTGCCAAGACATATACCAAAACAGTAGTAGTGTCAGCCCATACAAATGGCTTTACCCAAAGATGCTAAAAAAGAATGAAAGAAAGATGTTGTTCGACAACCTCACCACCAACTGATTGACAACTTTGAAGGTTTAACATAACCACTCCCATCCTCTGCTTCCCACCAATGCCCCTCCCAGTAAAAATCTTCAGCCTAGGCGTCAGACGTGTTCTGCGCCAACAGCAGGCAGTTGTAATAGGTAGTGTCTGTACTTTGACTCCTTCTTCACCTACTAGTTCTGGGAGGTTTTCAGGGGGTGACAGCGCATACCATGCACACCATTACATTTCAGTGTGCATTGACAGTGTGCATACAGTCAGAAAGTATGACAAGGTCACGTTTGTTAGAAAGAGCAACGGCAGCAACAGGCATGTAGCAGCATGAGAAATATGCAGGCGAGATCCAAGGATTTTTTTCACTGACATGAGACTTGCGTAAGCCGATAGTTGCTACATGTTGGCACAAATGCGGGCTGAATCTTACGGGAGGTCTTCGGGTGGATGGCTTTGAGGGCCACACCTGTCCCTCTTTAGTTACAGCATATTGCTGCCCATCGTCAAAATATTGCAGCCTGTCAGTCCGTTGTCAGTGTTTCTGTGCTCATTTAAGCGCAAGGAATTAGCTGTACGACTGTCAGCTGTGCAGGTACACAATCAAATGGCACTAAGTGCCAGTGTCACACAGTGTCTGTGTTAGATTCAGTAACATCAAGTCTGCCACGAGATGATTTAAGGCTTTCTTCGAAATACACTTCAAACTTACTGGTGAGTTTTAATCACACATAAAAATGATAACTAGAAAAGACTTAGGACAGAATCAAACATCTTATGAAGACGGAATCCCACAGTGCCATTTTCCTGCTGTATTTTTGTGACTAGTCAGCTATTGTTCAATTTATCAGAGCCTTTTTGTGATATTGTTATGTTGTGTGACTAATTTAGTGCTTAAAATTCTGATTTTTTTTGGAAGACTTTTATTTTGGCATGTTGCAGAGGATGACACCAAGAAAATGAGACTTTATTGCCCATTGTACAAGGATAAGTAAATAGGAATTATTTACTTTTTGCATATGCCATCTAGCTCTGCTATGCGACACACACTGCATTCAGGTGAAGGTGATTCTTGGGTTCAGTGCCCTGGTAGCATATTTGGGGTCTCAAGAGCCCAGCAGTAACATGATAAATCTGCCAGCCACATGACTCAAATCAGTGACTTTCTAGACACGAGACTCTAAACCCTCAAAGCCACACAGCAACCCCAGAATAAGCCACCAGCAATAATCGTGCCTTGCTTAAACACCTTAGCCTAAGATCCTGTCCAGAGATCTGAACATTACTGGCCTTTTACTGACAGTATTTACAGGAAAGCAACTGCTTCAAAAGAACTAAAGTCTTCCACAGATGCCGATAAGTCATTGGCTGCTGTCTGTCTGACTGGAGATTTCGCTGCACTGAAAAGCTGAGTTCTGCTCTAAGCGTGACACTTAGCCGGACTCTCAGGAAGGGATGGTGCTGACTGGCAGGCAGGCAAGCAGGCAGCTTAGACCGTTTTCACACACGAGGGGTCATTCCCAGCAGGAAAGAGAAAACCAGGCTACACAACAGGATGAAAGAAAGGCTTGTGCGGGGAGAAGGAGACTAAAAGCTACTGAAATGCTTCCTTGGGTAAAATATGAATAGGACATATTTAAATAATAAAGATAATACAACTATACATGAATGACTGTAACAGTAATTTTTTTATGCATACATATTGTCATATCTGGTGGGACGAAAGATGTGGGAACAAGTGGAATTAATTAACCAAAAGGAATTTATTAATCAGAAAAGTACAAAACTGGAAATAAACAGGATCTTGGGGAATCAGAACGAGGTAGCAGTATGAGGCTACACAAGGATACAACTTCAATGACAGGTCTGGAAAACACAGGAATGAGAAGCACTTAAATACAACGAGGGAGCAAACAAGACACAGCTAGGAGAGGCAACTGGGAGTGATTAACACGAGGGAAGGAATGAGAGGTAAGACAAACGACAACCAGACGTGGCTTGCAGGGCCACGCCAAGGAGGAGATAGGAGGGTTAGGTAGACATGGTGGGCAGGACATGACACATATAATATATGCTGTGAATAATATTAAGTTCTTTAATTGTCAACTGGAATCACTTAAAAAGATCTGTTTTTGAAAATATATTTTGTTTTTTTAATTTATTTCAATATTTTCTAGCTAGTGGCTTACTTTGCAGTTCCTTTAAGGCTAGTGCATAATACCTATATATTTCAAGCTGTTTTGTGCTAATCTTGATTATGAACTGATACCTAGATTCAAGACAGGAAAATATATATCAGTGTAATGGAGACACTGAACGTGAATGGAGGTCACCACTGCTTCTGTGTACTCAAGTATGATAATACTGCACACAAGTTGGACCTAGTTTGTGCTCGAGGCTCTATGCCATTTTTTTTTAAATACCCTTCAGTGGTTCGTGGGGCCTCCCTGTGCCATC